TCACTAGATTCCTCATAAAAACATGGCTGAACCGATTTCGGACCCGCTTGCACAACCACTCCATGCTGGCTGCCGGCTGAAGTACATTACAATCTTTGCCTGAAGCCACTGGGCCACCTCCGTGAAAACCTTGGACAAACACAGTTTGTGAGAAATGAAAGATTAAACCAACAGAACCGCTGATTACCGCCAGCTCTTCAAGTGGCCAGAGCCACAGTAAAAGATGGCCGCCGTTTTTACCTCTTACGACAACAGATGGCGCTGCCTTCTCGCGAAACAAATCAAATCCTGGATCTTGCCTTCCCCCCAAAATATTTGTCTGCCTCCGCTCGGACTACGCATGCGCTGATCGCTGCTGTCGCTTCATCGTTCCAATTAAATCTGGAAAATTGGATGAGCTCTGCGCACATCGCGTCTGCAAACCTCCCGTGACGCAAGGTCAACTCCGGGGTCGACGCCATTTCTCTGGAGTCGTGACGAGAACATTTTCTCTAAACCTAAATTTCTCAGAGGAGCTTTTAAGAAAAGTTTGCTTTGAGCTACGGGGATTTCGGCTGCTTTCCGCTGCCTAGCCGTTGTTATGTTTTGACACACGAAGACTTCCATGGATATAATGCATAAAGGGGTATAATGGCCTTAAAATTAATTTTTAAAATAGTAAACAAAGCCAACAAACAAATAAACGCTATCATTAAAAAGGGGAGAATATTTCTAAGCTGCTCAGCAGAACCGTTCACACATCAAGTCCTTGATGTGCTTAAGTACAACTGTCTGTACTTCTTACGGCCAGAAGTAACGTGTCTTTGTTCCGTTGGAGCCTCTTGAAATCTAGAAAGCAACACCGATGTGAAGCGATCTGAGTAAACGTAAGCATTTAGAATGTTCTTAGCCTGCTGGGCATATCAGTATATTATATTAATAATAATTTAGTTGAAGGAGGCTTTAACATAATATTATTATCTCTACAGGAAAAATAAAGGTTTTAATTCATTTTGAACTTTTCTTTTAACCGTTTGCACCTGTCTGTATGTCTGTCTGTCTGTCTGTCTGTTTGTCTGTCTGTCTTTCTGTCTGTCTGTCTGTCTATCTGTCTGTCTGTCTGTCTGTCTGTCTGTCTGTCTGTCTGCCTGTCTGTCAGTCCCACTCACTTCCATCATCTCTCATTTTCTCACTCTTTCTCTCCATTTTCTATAACTGCCCGTCTCTCTCCTTCCTCCTCTTCTTGCTCACTGGGTCTTTCTTTTTTTCCTTCCAAATCCCATCTCACCCCCCCCC